CCTGGATCCGCTACTGGACTCAACAATAACCCCACTCTTTCCACCCTTCTCCACCACCAAAACTCCCCATGTCTAAGAAGAGCAAACAGAGGGGGCAGGGGAACACTCCGAAAACAGCGTTTAAAAAGCTTTTCGTGCGGCCGGACACCCCCATGGTTGGGCGGCCTTCCTCCACAGCCGCATCCCCGTACTGACCTATGGCGAGCAGTCATCCCCTCTACCCCCTGGGGTCATATCCCCTGATGTGCTGGCGGGTCAGAACGGCGGGAATTCCTCTCCACAGCTGACATGTCTAAGAAGACCTGTCATCTCTGTCCGGGCTCACAGACATAAGAACCAGCAGGGATTAGAGGGCTGCAGGACTGATGATCAGGCCCTCCCCTTACCACCCTGTCCCTCCAGCAATTCCTACCCTCCTATGCCACCATTGCCCCAGGGAGACATGGAGTGATGCATTCTGATCCACAGTTATTATCCAACCGACCCCCCACAGCAAGGTCAGTCACCCCTAAATAATTGTGATCTCAGGGACCTGCTAAGTTCTCTCCCTACTAAGGCAGACTTGACAGCTATGGTACCCACCCCTGAATTTGAGGCGTTCACCCTTCACGTTGAATCTGCCTACAAGCAAGCGATCACGGAGGTCAAGGAGGAGATCACCACTGACTCCTCCAAAGTTATGGGTCTTGAGCGTTCGCAGACAGAGCTTGCGCAAAGGATCACCCGGCTAGAAGAAGACCAATCTTCCCTCAATCATCGGATGACAGCCCTAATGCTCGGGCTAGATGACCAAGATAACAGAGGCAGGCGCAATAATGTTAAGGGGGTTCCCTAATTAAGGGGGTTCCCAAATCCACCCATGTGGCAGATCTGAAGACCACAGTAAATGCCATCTTTTACCTTTTCTTGGACCGCCCCCCGACACTGCAATAGAGATTGACCAGGCCCATAGATCCCTGGGTCCAAGACCACAGAATGCCGATAGACCTGGAGATGTTATCTGTCGCATCAAGGAAGAAAGGAAGAAATTATGCGACCGGCCTGGTGAAAAGGCTCGATTGAGTTTGACGGAGCCTCAATCCACCTATATCCTGACTTGTTAAAACATACCTTGCAAATGAGGCACGTGATGAAACCTCTGCTAGATGCCATTAGATCGGTCGGAGCTTCCTACCGCTGGGGCTTCCCCTTTCACCTGATTGTCTGGAAATCGGAAGAAACATTCCTCCTGAGGTCTCCAGAGGCCCTGCCGGACCTATTCTGTTTCTTGGAGCTCGCTCCCTTTGAGGTGCCTAACTGGCTGCTTCCTTCGAGGGCCGGACAGCCCTCACTGGATCCAGTGGTACCTCTACGACGCTCCCGTTCTCCACTTCGTTCGGCCCCTATGCATGCCCGAAGCGAAGCTCTTGGAGGACCTTGTCCTAACTGCCGGGGCAGCCAGCTCTCACCTCTACAGCCCATGCACCCTGAATTATAACGATTCCCTTGTCCTCTCTTTGTGCGAGTGCCAAATGAGAAACTTCCCCAATTCCCCGCTGTTACGGACTAGGGATCTGCGATCAATGGAACTTCCACTGTGCGGAATCCCTACTTCACGACCTTTTAGTGCCTTGTTCGTTGGTCCCACACTCCTCAACACGTACCAAGAAAGTCTGCTTTGAAGGTGGTACCTCCCGGGGACACACTATTTCACAGTGCTTCCTTAGAGGTTCCTTTGTTTTTTGTATTGTTATGTTACCAATATTTAATTATCTTATATATATATCTATATATATGTATGTTAGGTTTATATATCGTGTTGCTTTTTTGCCTGCTATACCGAGCGTTGGTGCGGTCTTTCCACCTGTGGTCCTGGGCGGGTACTTCTATCATGGGCTCTGTGTTGTGATATATCTTAGTGTACTTTTTCAGACACACATAGATTTGCAATAGAGACGGAGGTTTTGTTTGTTTGTTGATAGAAATCTGGGTTCATACAATGGAAGGTGCCACCTAAACAAACCAAACTGGTTTTTCACAATGGTGTAGCTTGTCCTGTATTGATTCATATCACAATGGGATGGTGATCGTAAACAGTCACACCTAGCCTCGTCAAGACTCAAATCAAATCTTGATGAAAATGCCCTCCGCACACCTTTCAGCAGTCCCGGCCAACAATCAAATAAATGGTGCTCGAAGTAACTTCACGGATGGCACCGTGCAAAACACAAGATTGAAGAAATAGGTCACCAGCACTCCATAAGTTAAAATGAATGAGTCCTTTTAATGGACAATGATGTCACAGAAATCCAACATGAGCCGACGTTTCGGGGCCACACAGGGTCC